CAATTTCATTGTTTGGAACAAACAACTGCCGAGTGGGATGTTCACCATCTACATGCCAAGATTTTTAGTTGAAAATTCATCGACAGAGTTCCAACTTCTGGGTAGTTTCAAAACAACGAATCAGTTTCAACACGAAATACTGACTACCGACGTTCAATCGGACAGGGCCGAGGAAAATGGAGGGGAGGTGAGTTTGTGCCCATGATGCGTGATATGAACACGATAAGTTCGGGGCTCACGTGCATCCCGCGAGAATTTCAACACGGGTGAAAGCTCCGGGATAATTGAGGTGATTGGGTTGGCTGGTCATTTCTATAGGCGAATTATCCAATATCCAAATATGCCGGGAATCATCAATCACTCGGTGTTATTCCGGCAGTGGGAATTCACAAATGAATTATGCTAATTGATGATGAAACAATTTCCGGGTGATACTATTGTGAGAAATTACTTTTTTTTCTGTTCGTTGGAATTGCGTGAGCAAGCTTCATTATGATTAAACGAAAGTACCTATCACACAATAAAATCTGTCCGCAAATTACGATTAAGAAATTGTATTCTAGACTTTCTGAAGCGTATTTTACGTTTGAAGTTGAAGCGTAGGGTAGCGGATGCCTGTACCGCTCAGCGGGTAATACCGCTCACGCGTATTTCTCAGGACTGGCTGAGAAAAAAAAATTGTTTTTTTATTATGCAAATATTTGATAACAACAAGTAATATCAACAGAAATTTTCAATTTTCCCCGTGGATACATCGTTTAAAAAAATCCAAATCATTTCCTACCGAATTCTCAAAATATTTCAACCCCAGAATTTAAGATTTTTCAAATTTTCAGTTGGTCCATAATTGAATGGAGTACGAAATGTATGTTCGTTATACATTTCCACATCCATTGCGATCTTTTCGATAGCAGAAAAATGTCTTCATCAGTTATTATTGGCTATTTTATCAGCCTCTGCGGTTGTGGGTAATTCCGCTTAGGGTTCCTATAGGGTTGCTAGGCTCTGCAGCTAGAGGACGGTCGAGTGACAGCTCGATTGTTTGGGGTAGTCGGTGGCCACTAAAACATCGGGTAAATTCAGGATAATTTATTATTATTCACGTGAAATCTTTCTCAAAATGGAGCCAGAATGGAAACGAAGGATGAAAATAGGAAAAATTATAACAGTTGCCGGGCGCTATTACCCTCAAAGTTCGATGCCATCGCTCACTGGCCGATGGCAACTGAATTACATAATTAAATCCGTTTAATGTTAATAAAAAACCTGTCCTCTTCACATCTTCGAGTAAACACCTCGAAGAACCCGTTCTAACCGTTTATGACTGCTTGTAGAGAGCGGGGCTGAAAAAAACGACTCATTTCCCCTAAATTACGTTTGTCATCGAACTCAAACGATTACGTTTAAATAAACGAAATTTACTGTTTCGTATTCGTAAATTACAGTTCGGCACAGATTACGGTCACGTTTAGTAAATTTTCCATGGACCATATAGCAACCAATGGCATTTAAAAAAAATTGTGCACCTCATGTCGTAAAAAGAGTAGTGCATCGATTCGAGGACCAAACGGGGATTAAAAAAATCCCTCGACAAACTCTAAAGCATGCGAACATGGTCACAGTTGTAAAATATTTTCCGCCGACCCAAATAAAGTTTTTCCATTTATCCCATCAATCCTCTCCACAAAAAAATATAAAAAAAGCAGATTGACTGATGGTAAAAAATTGAAAACGTCGTTACGCCGGAGATGTTCACAAAAAATCCATTGAAATGGACGTGCTTTTCCTCAAACGCTGAGTCAGAGTAGAGGACATAGAGGGTTGGTACACAAGCCTCCCGGCAGTACTTTCGAACACTGAGACTGTGCTCTGATCCTACGTGACATGAATATTGAAAGTAAATCTGTGAAAGGAGCGAAGAGGGCAAACGGTGAGTTGGTGGAATATCAGAAAGCCATTGACGTTGGCAAAAGCACCGGGACTCACATCTCGTCCCTCCACTTCGCCCCATTCGCTTTTATTTGGAGAAGAAGAAAGGAGAAAACTTCGGGCTTTACTTCAGTCGATTGGAATTTTGTTTGCGAGAAGTTCAGGGTGAAAATCTTTCGAATTCAAGAGGGTATACGGAATTTGTACTTCACTGTACACTGTTAAAAATTTTCGTCTGAATTTTCCGTGCCATGTTCCGGAAATTTTTGTTGTGTTCAAGTTCCACTGAAATTTCGGAAATCTTGTCATTGAAAAATCAAATATTCCATTGATTTTCTGGTTAAGTGATCTGGAAATCAATAAAATTCTTGATTTATCAGTTCAATTATTCTGTTAAAATTAGGAAAAATCTGGAAAATTCAGGGGAAAATTGAAAATTCATGTGATTTTGTTTCTGAATATTTATGTTCCACTAAAAATTCAATCCAGTTGTGAAATTTCCATCTCACTGCCACTAAAAACTCATGAATCTTCGTGAATTCTACTTAAAACTTGAAATTTCATAACCATTTTCTCCTTAAATTCGATTCAATGAGTCGATTCGACTCTCATGAGATTTACTATCATATGTTCCATAAAATTTTAAAAAATTTCCAACAGTGCAGGTCAAATATCTCTTCCATTATGAATTTAGGTGAAAAAGTTGAGAGTTATCCACAGAGAAACATGCCTCCGGTTAGCGGAAAAGTTTTCTGAATTTCAGTAATTTGTTGTAAAAAATTTGCAGTATAGAATCTTGAAGGTAAATAATATTTTCCCTGATTCTAAAGCGATTTTCCCGAGAAATCAAATGAAAATTCAAATTCTCAGTCATTTTTTTTTCAAATATAGTACACTGTTAAAAATTTTCGTCTGAATTTTTCGTGCCAAATTCCGGAAATTTTTATCGTATTCAAGTTCCTCTGAAATTTGAGGGAATCTTGTCATTGAAAAATCACATATTCCATTGATTTTCTGTTCAAGTGATCTGGAAATCAATAAAAGACTTGATTTTTCAGTTCAATTACTTGTGAATATTCTGAAAAATCAGGGAAAAATTGAAAATTCATATCATTTTGCTTCTGAATATTCATGTTTCACAAAAAAATTCAATCCAGTTGTAAAATTTCCATCTGCCTCTCACTGAAAACTCCTGAACTTCCGTGAATTCTCCTTAAAACTTGAAATTTCACAGCCATTTTTTCCCTAAATTCTATTCAACGTCGCTCTCATAGGCATTATTATAATATCTTCCATGACATTTCAAAAAATTGTTAACATTGTATATTTGTGCTCAAATTACAAATACTTGGGGATTTATTCCGTCGGATTGGGACGTAATTTTTACTGCCAAATAACTCAATTATCCTGTGTTGAGCCGAATATCAACTTTCATTCAACCAACATTCATTAAAACTTTGTGAAAACTTCACCTTCAAAATCCACAAGTCATGAACAACTCCTTTATTCATCACTTGTCGAATCTTCTCTAGCTTTTCGTGAGCACTCCACAACTATTAACCCTGAGAATTTCCCTGACAGTTGCGAGTGAATGCACGCTCCTCATCGTTAGAAGCAATGGCAATATACGTCTACTTCAGTGTACCCTCAACACTTCCAAAGTAAATAAGATGATACCTCACTGTTACAAAGCCACAGTGGCACTCTCGAGTGTCTACAAATATAGAGCAATGCTGTTAAAGAACCCTGGCTGGTACCTCAGGACACAATTGATATCAGCATCTGCGACGCTGTCTATATATTCCACTCGGAATACCTTACGTATTCACATTTCAATGAATACTTGATGCATCAATTACGGGAGCATGCGACATCACTGAATGCCGATGGTGTACCCAGCAAAATGGTTCATTTGAACTAAGTAAAAATCCCTCTTTAATTTTTGTTACTTGTTCCCTTGTTTCAAATGAAACTCATTATATCAAAATTTTTATTACATTCAAGAAAACAGTTTATTTATTTTGAATAAATCATTTATTAAAATCAAGTGAACAATTCATTTATTTGAAATAAAGAGTTTCCTCATTTTGAGAAAATCACATTTTCGTGTATTTTTTTAAGGAAGTTCGAAATTATATTTAAAACTTTTACTTCTTCTCATTCTCCCCTCAATAAGTAATTATTGTATATCTATAAGACAAATCTGTATTGATTATTAATGAAGAATTTATTTGGATCAAATGAAGATTCATTAATAATAAAAAAAAAATTCATTTAATACAAACAAAACCTCAAATTAAGAACACTTTTTAATTTGCATAAAAACTTTATTTTGTCCTTTTTGAATAAACTTGTTTATTTGATTTAAATTCATCAGTTTTTTAGGTATGCAACGGAAAATTAAACGTCGAGTGGTGCAATTTCTGAATTCGCTCGAATCCCTTTTTTCGGACTCGCAGAAATTTACGCGTTAATTAATTAGGTCATTGCGGGAGCTCCGAAGAGCTAATTAATGTTTTAGGGGGCAATTATAAACTTTAGTAACTGGTGAATTTCAAGGATTGCAATGTGGAGGGATTCTTGTGTGTACAATAGAATGCAATAAACAATAGGATAGGGAAATGAGTTTAGATAGCATCATTCATGAAAACGATTTATAAAAAAGTTTCGGAAATCATTCCACGGATTATTTGAATAAAAAAATGGTTAAAATTTATTCAATAATCAGTAAAACTACCAACTTCGACTCCATTTTCATCGGACAAATGGATGGTATAAATATATATCATGTCATATTTGAAATTTCATAAAATATTAAACTAAATAAAAAATATAACACTATTGAGTAAAGAAGAAATTTCATTGAATTTAACAAAATCATATGAAACAATAAATTATATACTATAGAAGCGGATGTGTGCACAATGACCATTCGGACAAACCTTAATTTATTATCGGAAAACTTAAACTATATTAATATAAAAGCAATTTCCCACTTGTTTAATTTTCTCGCAAATAAAGATAAAATATCATTTTAGTTCAGAAATTGCAGCTATAACTCTACGAATCCATTTGCTCTGGCCTTATCGACTGCGAAATTAACTCGATTAAGTTTTTTTCACCTTTTCCTTTTGTTCGCAGGTGTCATTCTTCTCAACGAGTCCTGAACTCTCCAATAAACAACGTTTCGAGTACTTCACGAGAACAATTCCCAGTGATCACTATCAAGTTAAAGCGATGGTCGATATCGTCAGGAAAATGGGCTGGAGTTATATTTCGATAATATATGAGGAGAGCAATTACGGTATAAAAGTGAGTATGAAGCATCAAACAATTTTAATCTTCGAGTTTTTGGTGCATTAATCATGAGTAAAAAAACATTTAATGAGTTTCCGTCGCGCGAAAAATGACTCCTCATTCAAAGGCTCTCGGGGTATCGATAGAGCGGGAAAAAATATATTCAACAAAGGCTGCGAGAGAGGAAAAAAATTAGAGAGGCAAAAAAAATGGCCTCGTGCAGGAGTAATAGGGTAATTTAAAATGGTGCGAAGCGTGGTGATAGAATTTTCACGCCTGATGGGACACCATAAATATTTATTTGTACGACCTCTTTCAGGGGAAACGAGAGTCACTACTCTGTCGTCGTCAAACTCAAAAATATATATCGCCGTCATACCTCCTCTTGCCCGGTGAATAAAAAATGTACAGGGGAAAATAGAGAGTATTTCCTGCGTAGTAGGAATAACTCGGTTAGATTTCAATTTGCCGGGCGTTTTTCACTCCAATGAACCTGTAGTGCATTATCATGAGATGAGAGAGAAGAAAAGGGGAATTATTCATTAAAAATTTTAAATTGTAAAACTTCTTGCAAAGAGTGGTTCACTAGATGGCAATTGTTAAATATCGCTGTATATATGGAAAAACTTGAACGTAAATTACGTTTAAGGATATACAAGTACTTTGGAAATTTTTTCTCCAGTGAAATGCTCTTGTACTTTTGTAGTCGAACATCAGAGCTTTCATTTGAGCCCCATTGGACCCCCAGTTTCAGGACATTTTACAATGATTTTGTTATTTAAACTCTGCAGGCCTGAATTTGTATCTCGACATTTAACTGTTTGGAAACATTTAAAAAATCTGAAGAAGAGAAAATTTATTTTTGGAGGCAGATTGATGGAATTATTAAAAAATTGCAATTTTTGAAAATTACGAGCATTTTTTACAAATAATTTATAAACAATCAATTGATTGTTTGTAATTGTAGAAAGAAGATTGCTTCCGCCATAAAAATCATTCGTGCGGAATCAGAACAAATTTATTCATATTCAGAATTTGATCAGAAATCTATTTTATGCTTAAAAAAATAAGGTTTCCAAAAGGTTAAACAATTTCAATTATTTGTTTATCAACAACGAATGTTTAGAAAGAATAATAATTCTGTGCAAAATTTAATTTGAATGACGCTGAATACTCATGACTTTGTTCAAATTTTTCAATTATTCCGGAAGAATTGATGAAAAATCAGAATAATTTAGAGAAATCTCTCCTTGAATTTCAGATTCTTCTGAATTTTCAGGGAATTCCTTCAAAAATTTCTGGAGTTCCAAAAATTTTAAAGAATTTTCCTTAAAATTCAAGGCAATTTTGCAATAAATATTCATTTTCACTTAAAAATTAATTTCAATTTTCAAGTGAAGATGAATATTTCGATTCACTGTAGAAAAAATTTAGCTGCATTGTCCGGAAAAAGACTTGGAATTCGATTTAAGGGGAAAACGTCAATCGAATTTCAAGTTTCTCTGAAAATCCAAGTGAAGTCCCGTTTTTTTCGCGGTAGGAAAACAGAAATTCGACAATTTACATGAATTTTCAAGTGAAAAATGAATATTTTGCGCCAAATTCCCCTGAATTTTCAGGAAATTTCTTCAAAATTTTTGGAATATCAGAAATTTTTCCTGAAAATCCAGAGGAATCTGGAAGTTAAGAATAGATTTCTCTGAATTTTCCTGGCTTTTCAGTAATTCCTCCGGAATAATTCATTGATATTTACAGTTCCCACGGATTTTTCCCTGAAATTATGAATTTCAATGACAAAATTCCTTGAAATTTCAGTGGACATGCAACTTGTTAGAAATGTCCAAATCTCTTACCGGAAATTTCAGTAGAAATTTTTAAGTGTAATGTCCATGCTTTTTGGGGGCCGAAAACCGCGATCTAATCGAACAAAGCGAGATTAGAATCGCGGTTCCTCAGGCCGAATGCCCTAATAATAATTTATGCAATGATAATTTTCCCTATCGTCGCCACAGACTACCTAAACCCGCCTCTGATTACATCTACCTCCCAAACGCATTCACTCAGAATGAAAAATTCCCTCGTCTTCAAAATGTAAATTTCAACCCCATCAATCAAGTTCCTAATTAAACATGGTAAACCGCCGAGATATATTGGATTTCAGTGTAATACCAGAGGGAAATTGAATAAACAAAAATTTTGCTGCTCCATCAGCCGAGGTTAATCAGATGGAACTCGAAGGTTGATTAAAACGGGCGAATGAAAACAGTGGCCCAAGCCAGCAGCTAGACACCACCGCAAAATGTTAATTCGATGCCTTCGGGGACATCATCCGAAAATGCAAATTATCGTAATATCCTTCTTCCTCCTTTAATTCCATCTGTCCGGGCACTCGACCCTCGTCCGACTCGCGTGACACCATCAATAGAAAATGCCTCGGTATTGCTCACCCGTACCTTAAACATTTTCAACGACACCTCGGCAATTCTGTTGAGCGCTCTCTACATTCGTTCTACCTCACGTGAAGTACTGTTCAATCGAATAGTTGTCCCGTAATTGTCACTCAATAGGGTGACCCGATACCGACGAGTAGGTGATATCGAGCTGGGGGAAATTGCCGGGTTCGGGTTAATTGAAAATGTTTGATGGATTAGTGTGCTCTGTAACTAATCACATTTCGGTAATTGATATTGATTTTTTTTCTCGCAAATGCAATCAAACAAGTAAATTCTTTGGACGTTTTTATGAATCGAAGAAACGGAATAATTTCGCCTGCAGCAGAATTTCGAGGAATTTAATTATGGAAAATTGGCAGTTTGATGGATACATCAATGGATAGTGTGAATTTCAGTTCATTAATTCTATGAACATCAGTAGGAATCCGGAAAATTCAGGTGGATTTATTCGTGAATTTTCGAGTCATGAAAAATTTATTGTGATTTTGTCCTGAATGTCAATATTTGATTGCAGATGGCGGAAAAGTACTAGTATCTCATCAAGAATTCAATTCATTTCGCTACACTCTTCAGAAATTTTTTGCACCAATTTTGCCACGAATATCCCATCCTTTGGGGATCAATTTCTTGGGATAAGAATTCCAGATAATGTGTCAGACAATGTCAGATTTTGTTGAAGTGTTCATGAATTTTTTGCCACAAGAAATCGGCTTTTTCGTATCAGAAGATGAGAAAATGCCTAAAAATATTAAAAGCTTCGATTCAGTGAATCATGAATCAGAGACTTTCGTGTGGAATGAACAGAGAGTTTATGCAGAGAAAAATCTCCAGATATTATAAAGATATAACTGTCGTTTACGCTCAATCGCTTTGAGTTCGAAGGGAAGCAATATCTTCTTTTCCTTCTGTCAAACTATTCTTGTCTTTTAAGGATTGTCATCTCATAAATTAATTCAACACGACAAAAGATCTCTTCACGGGAGCATAATTACCTTCCGCAATTACCTCTCTGGAAATTTTCCAACAGCCCGACTGGAATCAGTTATGATTGTGCCGAAAAGGAACCCATAAAAATTTCATTTTCCACCGACGGAAGGAATTATTGACAGTGTAACGTTCATTTTACGTCTTTTTCCGTGCTATAACATACAGTTTTGTTATTAACGTATTCATGTTGTGCTCGTAGAGACGTGAAGAACAGCTCGGGGTAATGCCTTTTTCCCACCAGTGTGTAATATCGACCGGAGGGTCTTAGCTGTCGACAGAGCGTCAGCTACGCATTTGCTGAGTAGTTAAAAAAAACACCCACCAGACTATAAATTCTCGGTATGTTATCCGATTGAAACGGTAATACCCAGATAGCCAGGACACCTAATTTTTAAGGATGATCGATAATTAAAGTGACTCTTGGGCTCTATGAATTATTCAGCGGTGAGGTGGCAATGACGATAAGCCAATTGCATGGAAAGACGAGACTTTTTTTAGTGATTATTTCTCCCAATCGGACTTCGACCAATCAGAGCGCAGTATTTGAGGCAACCTGACAGTTTTATTTCGGATATTTTCTCCTAGCTTTTGAATATTTCGCAGTAGTTCTTCATTATTTTTACCTGAATATTTCGCAGTAGCTGTTCATTTTTTCGGCTCATTTCAGATAGAATCTTATATTCGACAGTCTATGGAAATCGGGTTATTCTAATAAAAGCTTTTTCGCAACAGCATTGCCATTTTTTCCAGACCCTGCGGGAATGGTCTCTCTATTCCGACTCAAAAATGATAGAAATACCATAAAATCTCATTCGATAGCCTTTCAATTGCAGATACAATAGCACGACTTTTATATTCCACTTCAGTCATTCTCATTTTTTTCCACCGACGAAACAAGAGATGAGTCCGCCGGTGGAAATCATAATAATAACAATAACCAACAGACCTGGCGGTGCTAATGCAAAGCATAAATAACACTTCAGATTTTTTTGTCGCCTTCCCTCTCTCGTTTTTTACCGCGACTTCTTTCCGCTACTTTTTCCTTTCAACCCAAGTGGTTGGTAATGAAAGCTCGGTAATGGTAAAGGGAATGAAGAAAAAATAGATAAAAAAAGAGAATTGTGTGGGAGGAGAAAATGCAATAAACGCGGAATAAATGTAATGAACAAAATAGAGAATTAAATGTGGAGCATTGCTGGAGCCTCGGAAAAACAAACAATGGAAAGGAATTCTATGAAAAATTCATGAGAACGGGCATCGGGGTCCGTTTCTCTTCACAAAAACTTGGGCTCATTTATTCTCCTTTTTTAATTTTTTTCATTATTCTTGAGGGATAGCAGCCACAAGACACATTAAATCATTCGGATTAGCATAATTGAGGGTTTGGGGCTCGGACATGGGGTTTTTGCTTCCCGCAAAATGAGGTGAAAATAAAAAATTTTGCCATTCGGTCATTCAGGTTATTCATTCGACGGAGGGACATTGAAGTTGAATGGAATTTTATATTCAGCAGTGTATAAATAAATTTCGTGCTTTTGAGGTCATGGTGGATTTTCCAATTTGCTTTGTCATTTA